ACCCCACTTCAAATAAGATACATGCATAGAGATGACGCAGTACATCACCTGTTTACATTCCACCATCGCTCGACAATCTTATATAATAAGATTTGCAGCAGTATTTTCAAAAAGGCACCACGTTTCGCCCTATGATATGTATATCCAAATACATTATTGTAAAGAAAGGAAGCACAACACATTTCATAACAGAAACCTCGTATTATCCCTGTATATTTTTAATCCGACTGTGTTCAATTTTCAAATTCAGATGAATTTGACACATGAAGGAGTGTAAGAAAAAAGTTCATGTATCATGCACACGTTGAACTGGATATACAGAACTCAGGTATTGCCTTCTCCGAAATCGGTCTAGAATGAATTCATTATGGAATAGGATGTCTATCACACTCCTTAGATTAGTATGCCAGTATTATCTGCAGTTTCACTTCTCAAAGTGCAGACATACGAATATGGTCTACAGTGGTAAGCCACTTTAGGGAAGAAAATTTTGGATGTTAACTGCTTTAAGCTCCTACTTTTTTCCTGTCTATTCCAAGCGAAAATGAACACCATCTCATTGATTTACTCAGTGTAGGGTATAAAAATAGAAATGATAAATAGTTTGTCAGTTCTGTCTTGAAGAGATACGCTTTGTAGCTTATGGAAGTGTTCTTTACAGAACTCGTTGACTGTCTTTGATGTCATTTAGTGGGCTAAAATCTCACGAAATATTGCAAGCTAGGAATGAACCGTTCTCTGTAAACACACCGTATTATTCAGTGATAATCAAGCGGTCAACACTACTAAGAGGCTCACGGTATTCTTTCTGACCTTCTTATCTACGTAACTTGTCCAAAAAGTCAGTACAAAATCGGAACGTTTTCTGTTAAGTTCGTTCTCTCCCCGTAGTCTACGAAAACTAATGATCTATTAATCACTTGATAACATAGTCCAATGTAATCAGCTTTTGTACGAACTTATTCTATAATGCATAGGATTCACCTATTTAAAAAACTGGAGAATTCCATCTCCTTCCCATTTCACCACCTAACTGAGCGCTGACTGGTGTCGTCATGTTTCACGGTGAAAAATTACTTCGCTTTTCAGTTTCATTTGGATGTATTGTTAGTTGGCGTCTCGGTGACATTCTAAGACTTTCATGACTACTTGACGCCAAACAGAACCGGCAGAAACGTATTCTTAAATCCAATTGAAGTGGTTTTCACTATGATTCCGAGTGCATTAGAAAGTCTATTTCATGCCTCCATCCGGTTTATTATCCAAAATCAGTCATCACCCAGTTTGCTAGTTCGAGAACCCTTCGGACGGTTATTGCTTTTACCAAGTACTAACGAAGTACACCGTAATTTCCTAATATGCGTAATACTCATTTCATGCACCTTATATCTACATCTGCAACAAACGCTAACCTCTCAGTTTATTAATCATGTTACGGAGTCGATCTTCAGTTTTTTGTGAGCTAATAGCAAAGCACTCTAAGGCTAACAAGGCTAGGCGAAATAAGAGTAGTGTAGGATAAAGTCCTAGCTTCCAAATGTGAAGCAAACACCAAAATTAGGCATGATCTGCACGTATTACATTTCTGATCTCCGTATACGACACCTAACATGATCCGTTATATGGTTCATATGCATTTCTTCATCCGTCGAGCCGACGGAAGAAATTCAAGTATTTATATTTCATGACCGCCAGCAGTCACGAATAAACCAATTATTTGAAATATGAGACTTCAGCTTTCTGGACATACTGGTACGTGTATAATACGGCATAGAAATTCAGGTAGGATCGCATAAAAGTTTCTTACATATGATCAAAATCTGCAGGTGATACAATTGAGAACTGGTACATAACTGTTGTACATGGACAGTCCTACATATATCTGTATGCGTATATATATGACACCCTGCTAGCGGACATAAGCAACCCTACGGAAACAGAAGTGACCGAAGACAGAAATCTGCATGACATCCTAGGTTCAGAAGGGTAACGTATCGGCGGCATTGATCAAAACTGACTGCACTGAGATGCTATACACCTGCACTTCCTGTGACTTCAGTATCACTACTATGGCGTCAAATGGCAATCTTGATTGGGATATTTTACCCTGGTTTTCGATAGGCATTTGCTATCATAATCGCTCATACAACTGCTTAAATAAATGAGCACCCCGGCTAATTCCACCAATGGAGTAGCAAGTAAGAGTACTGGCTCTTACCAATATTATGAAAGAATTTCGCCATCCCACCGAGTGACGTTTATATCATACCTGTGGAGAGTGATCGACAGCTCATAAGTTTTAGTTTGAGTAGTCTGTATGTCGCCCCACACTGACGTGATAACACGCACACACACGCATACACACACAAAGTGCAAACATTCCTTCTTCTGGTAATAGATCTCAACCACTACCATCTACCTGATTTATGTGTGTGTGGAGAATGTAATGAGATATAAAGTCGGAGAAATTGGCAACACTGTCTCACCACAGCTCAGATTAGGCAGTACAAATGCAGGTTAATGTTCATCATCACTCTGAAGGAAACTGTTGCATGGGACATTCAAAGTGTTTTTAAGCTTCTCTAAGATATCCATCCCTCCTAGACAATCGCACTCTGTGAGGCCATCAGACAAGTAGAAGGTGACTACATCGTCAATAAACGTAACAACTGTAGGCGTAAAATGCGTATGATGCTGTTGGGACAAGTGGTGGAGAGGACTACATAGTTAAACAGTACACAGCCTGAAACCGACATGTTCGAAATGGCTGATAACCCGATCATCTTTAAAAACACTAAATAGACATTTAGTAATACTGGGTAGAAATGGTAGGTTTATTCCAGGATATTTGGTCATCTACGCCCTATTGTAGGACTCAGTTAAAACTTAGCTACAGTCCGGTCTGCACTCTTCAAATAGAAGGTGAGTTGTTTTAGTCAAATGTCTTACAAAGTTATAGTAGCTGTAGTTATTTCTAAACCTTGACTTAATTACATGGGTCAGAAACGAACGACCATGGAGTCAAGAATGCTAGTTTTCAAAGTAATATGTCCATTAAAATAGCTTTCATAAAAGCTGTTGTTCAGAATACAACCTACCTCACAGACCTCACTGACACCCCAATCCTAGCTTCCAGTGCATCGGATGGACCACAAATGCTTTCAAGTTGCACCAGATACAGCTACTCGTTAACCTCAATCACGCATTGTAACTGTCAAGTCTCGTAGTCCCGACACAAGCGTTTGATAATCCCTGCTTCGAAGACTTGCGTAAGTCATCTCGGTCATCACCTATTTGAATTGGTAGCAGCACTAAATAGTGTCAGTCAGTCAACAAAGAACTAGTGTTGATTAGCCAGATCTCCTTCAAATCAGAAAGCCAGATCACTTACAGTTCACATCTCATATTTCAAGTATAATCAACGCTCGTCTATAGTTTCCGGATGTTCTGCAATTAATGATGAATGCAACTTGACTTTGTACTCACTTGCGATATCAAGTTCGGCCAGTTCTTTCATATTAATATGATCCTTGAAAAAACAGTTCCGTTTATCATATCTCGAAATAATACCAGGTAGCAAACAGCTACGATAGGTTGAGATGGCACAATAGGATGAGGGATAGTTGTATCGCGTTGGCATCTGTAGGTGCCTCACAACACACTGAGTGGGTTCCAAGTGATAATGCAACTCAGAGGCTCAAGACGATGGCAAATATGGCTCGAGATTAAGAACAATGGTGACTCTTGTGAAGTTTTCTTGCTTCATCTTTGACTGAGGAGTAAAACAAAAGTGCAGGAGGTTTCTTTATGTGCATCTTTGATAACCAATCTCTTTCTTTTTCTGTGTTCTATGTGTTGCTTTATTATTTTGTATGGCGCATCTCTCGTTGCCAGTGTTCTACCAAGTTTGTGTCCGAAGTAAATAATAGTTAACCAGATCGAGCACTCACTCTATCAGCACTCACACCTTCAGCAAATGAATGATGCACAATCTATTTGATTCAACACTTTAATGGCAAAAAGAAGATGCAAGTAGCACAAAGCAAATTTCTGCTGTGGAATTTCGCGCTTGCAGAAAATAGGCTAAGATCTGTGCAAGGCTGTGGAGAGAAATCCTTGTCATTCCCTTTGGTGACGGAACACATCCCCAGCTGCATCCAAGTGGTGACTCAGATATCCGAAAGACATTGTTTCATCTGCTAATTAGTGCCGTTACTTGACTTTCTCACCTAATAGCGCACTCATTAGTGCTATTGAGCAGTTAACTGGGAAGTGTGATTTCGGTGACATTGACATCACCAAGACTGAATGGCTATGACGCTATCTGAAAGGCTCGAGACAGTTTCCAGTTCTAAGACACTGCTTGCATTTCACAACACCGAATTTCTCACAGAAATCGTGATTGATGCGTCAGATGTAACAGTCAGTATGGTTTTGTAATATTTTTTTGATGACAATCGGCAATCACTGTTTTCCTTCTCAAAAAGGCTGAGTCCATTGTAGTCAAAACACAGTGCATTCACACGATGGTTAGCTGTTATTTACCTGTTAGTTAGACACTTCTGATCTATGAATCAGGGTTCTTTATCCAGCCTTTACAAGTCGTTAACGAATGCATTCATGTCATACATAAAATCAGTAGGATGACAATGAGTCGGATATTAGGATACACGGCTTGTGAATCAGAAGACTTGATTAGTTGCAAGGAGATTAGATGGATACTGTAAAAGTCCACTGTAAGATTTTATTTGGTGGATTACATGGTGAATAAAGACAAAAGCAAGTACCGTTTCCTATTAATTTTCGCTTCCTCAAGCAAACTCTGAGTTTTATTAGCCATCAGTCGTTTCAGGCTCATGTAACTGAAAACCTCTCGTATTGCGTTCCATGTTCAGCTGACATTGACCGTTACACTTTAAAACAGAAAAATAAAAACCTCCACGTAAGCGTGAGCTTCTCATAGATCTCCATAACAGCGCAGTTTTTTTTTAAGAGGAATATTAACGAAGAAAACAAACCGAAAGTTTTATTCGTGCATATGAAAATTGAAATCAATGAAGTTACAGAGTACAAGGAAGAAGCTATATATCACAGTTATTTTAGTGTTCAGGCAATCTGGCAATAATTTTTTCGAACCATGATTGCAATAAAACAGCACGTTTAGCAGATGTTTCCAAAACTTCTTCATGATTTGCAATCATCTTGCTTTCAACATCCAGTATACTTATATTTGTAACTAGAGAAACAGCGAAGACTTTCATTCCGCAATGACGAGCGAATACCACTTCGGGAATAGTACTCATACCTGAAGGTGTAATAAAAAGAGGGGAAAGGTAGACTCAGTATATTCCACGCAGATCTCCAGCAAAAAAAGTATCTAGCAAATCTGGTTACCGCACAAGAATCTACTCCTTATGGATCTAGCCTCATACTTTTGGAAAAATAGTTGCGAAAAGCCCAATTAAAGTCAGTATTCTATTACATATTGAGTGTTTTAGTAATTATGACACACCAAATTAAAAGCGGACCAAATGGCAATCTACGATTCGCTAGAGTACGGCAGTATTTTTGATGCTGGATAGCAGAGATATCTTTCACTACTTTTGGAAGCGATGTGACGATAGACCTTTGACATTCGTGGCTATGATTAACGAAATATCACTGCAAGTTCGGTTGCCATTTACAGTAGAAACAACACACCGGAACCAGTGAAATAATACGCCAAAGGAAAATTTTGACACAAAAACAAAAAGCAAACAGCGTTTGGCATATTTCAAATAAAATCGGTCACATGCAAACCAAACTATTCCTCAGACCAATGCATCAACTAAAAGTAACTCGTACTGCTGGGAACAATTAACTAGCCCCGGTTAAGAAGGTTTAAAGCCGTTGTACTTGGTCTGACAACAAGGTGATGATCTATGGTTTCTCCAAAAACTTCCTCGTTAGGAATAAACTCTCTTTTACCAAAAGTAGACTTTCCAACATATAAGTTGGCATTTTATTGTGGAATATGCATGCTCTCAACCAACACAAGCGGTTACAAGTGGCGCAGGTACCAGCAATAAACTTTTGTTGTTTTATCGGTGTTGAACCAATCTTAACTTGTACATCTTTGAATTAGAAACGTTCAACAAACAAAGGGTTTTCCACACATCTCAATTGCTGGTTTCGAATTCAAGGTTTTGTTCATGATTGAGGGCTGCACTGTTCAGTAGATGGACCAATTTTTTCGACATTTATTTCCAGTCAACATAGTCCGAATGATACACTTTATTCACAGGTAACAGTGAGTCACTCACCAACAACATCGCAACCCATCATAAGCAGCATCTTGCACTCAGCAGGTGTTTCATAATTAGGGCCACCATTCATGACATAGACACCTTCGTGGACCAGGTTCTGAAAGTTTTCCTCTTTGGCCACTTGCAAAGCCAGTTTTCTCAGGTCCGAGTTATATGCGTCTGACAGTGCTGGAAACCGAGGGCCAAATCTTTGAAAATGGAAATAGGATCAAACAAATTTGTGACATACACATCATCATTATGGCCAACCAAGACGTTGTTCAATGACAACCCAGCAAGGTAAATGTGATCTTTCAGGATAACAAAATCACCGTGTTTAAGGTTTCTGTTAAGGCCACCAGCGGCATTGCTCACCAATAGAGTTTTGACGCCCAACAGCTTCATAACTCGTATGGGAATAGCTATCTGTTAAGAAAACAATAAAATCTGATCAAAAAGCGATTACTTCATGCTTGCTGTAACCCTCATACATGTGGAACCGTCCTTGCATCACAACTACTTTACGACCGCTCAAAGTTCCAAATACCAGGTTTCCAGAATGTCCAACAACTGGAAAAGCGTCACTGAAACATAAAAATACTCACCACTTGTTCTCGGAAAGTTAGGTATATCTGTATACGGAACCACTTTTGGGTCCTTAACTCCGTCAGCTAACTTTCCTAAACCACTTCCACAGATGATTCCGATCTCTGGTTCAATAGTTATCAATGTTCGGATATAGTCTGCAATCTTGGACACATTCTCGTAACTGGCAGTAAATGAAGATGACCTAGATTTTTAAACAGTCTATGAAAAACGACAAACCTACATTTCTCAGCTAGTCCTTCTGAAATGAGAAGGAAAAGATAGTGAATTGCATTTATACAATCAAGACAGCACGTTATTCATCGAGATATTTTTTATAAAATAACTCACGATATCTAAAGCTTGTATTATATGAAGTTATCCCAGTGATTACTATACTTAGACTATCCCTCAGTCAAAGCACACTCTTCTCTGACTGAAAGGACGCCATAATCACACTTATCCACAAGGCGTGTTCTGTGCAGCACAAATAAAATTACAGACCCATAAGCCTAACGACTACCATGGCAAAGTTCCTAGAATGGATAATCAACAAACCCACTACGGTCCACCTAGACAGAAACACCTTGTTGTCCCATTCGTAACATGGCCTTCGCAGAAATTTCTCTTGCCTGACGAACCTTATCAAAGTCAGAGAAAGCTGAGCTAAGTCTGTAGATGATGAAATACCTTTGAATATCGTCTGCACAAACTTCAGTAAGGCGTTCGGCAGTGTGCATCATTCAAAGCTTTTCATGAAACCAGAGTTTTGGAATCCCTCACACGGATCAAAGAGTTTCTTATTGGTAAGGGACAAACAGTAGGTAGTAATTCTTAACCCTCCTCCTGAAGGTTGGTACAGGGTAGATTGATGCGAGATGCAGTCCCAAGTCTTTTGATATTCATCCTGTTTATAAAACAACTATCAAATATCATGAAATCCCCTGTAGTTTTGTACACTGATGATATAAAAATCTGATGAGAAATTACGGATGACGAAGGTGTAACCACACTTCAGACAGGTCTAAACAGCTCTCCAGCCTAGTCGGAGAGGTGGCTGGTGCTTAATAACACACGCAAGTGTGTCAGCATGCACACGGGTATCCAGATGACGAAACCTGTGATACTGATGGGGCTGCTCCACGATCTGAAGACCACGACGCAATGTCAATCGATCGCAGCCGTGTTTTAGAACGCCTCAGGAATTACTCAGAACGCTTAGTCACGACGTATTCACTGCCTTATACACATACTTAGTTAGATCTAAACCAGAAAACTGTGTACAAGCGTCAAATCTTTAAATGAAAGGCGAATCAGATCTTCTGGAAAGAGTTCAGAAGACAACCACTCGCATAGTTCGTGTGATACCTAGCCTGATCTTTGAGGGGTGACTTCAGCATCTGAATCTTTTCCCTTTGTTCCGTTCTAAACAGAGGAGGATCTAATTATACTTTACAGGATTTCAAGGAATGACTTCGTGGCCTACCTATTTTCTCTCCACCTTCCACTAGATTAGAATATCTCAGTGGGCTTAGCAAAAGAACGAAAAAACAAGGGCAAACATTTTACTCTGCATAGCACTAGTTTACTTATCGTGTGGCCAACTCTTGGGACCGAAATCCAGAAGAAATTTTGTTCTAATCATCAATTTACTCGTTCAAAAGAGGACTGAACAAGAACAAAGATCTACTGTGGAAGGACTAATACAGCACCATTGTCGTCTATCTTCAACCTGCGAATCCGACATCTAAATCAGTGATGTTGTGTCCAGTGTATCAGATTTCAGATCTGTTAAAGTCTTCATGTGTTGAGGATAATTATCCACAGTTAAGTGGTGTTGTCTTTCTAATGATAACTGTCTGTGGCCCATTCTATCCATTCAAATGAGCGGCAAAAATCATAGACGCAAAATATCGACGGAAGGAGCATTTTCTGTTTCAAATTAGCTACGCACCATCTAAAAAACAAATTGTCGATTGGCGTTTCGGTTGGTTATGTTTCCAGTTGCTACCCAAATCTTTGTGTTGTGAAATATAGGTAAATTGGATTCTGATATTTAGAGTGTAACAGACACTAGTGCTGTTATAACTAAAAAACGGAACTCACCAGGGGGAAGCGTCAACGCGTTATGTTGTCCATTTTTCAAAAGTGTCTTATATAACCAGATTCAACCTTGAGAGACACTTTTCAACGCGCAATCTAGTAAAAGAGAAGAGGTTTTGATACAATTTCTTCTAGCTTCGTCTCATCAATTCGTCGAACGGGATGAAAACAAACGAATTCGTAATAATTGAGCTTGTGAACATTATGTGATCCTGGCCACCCACTCCGTCACTAAATCTCACCTGTAGCACTAATCTTAGAAGACATACACAGAAACTAGGCTTGAAACACAGCAGGTTAGATATCAAGTACAACCTCTGTTCCCTGAGGATTGTTAAACCCTGGAACTCTCTTCCTGAAGGTGTGACCCAGACCAACTCGTCTGAATCGTTTAAACGACGACTGGATACCTACTTGACTTGTGACTGGGATCTGCCCGGAACTAACTGAATTTTCAAACTCTTACCGCCATTTTTTCATCTTTCTTCACTTGTACACAGGTTGAAAACTGCAAGAAATAGTGATCCACGGATCTTGGCCGCGGAAGTCAGTTAAACCACAGCTTCCATTTCGTCAACAACCATTTGAACCGTTTGCTTTCTAATGGCTTTGATAACGTGGCTTAAAGTGTGACTGCAAGGAACTGCTCCCCAAGAACTAACACTCCTTAGATAAAGGAAATGGCCCGAAGTGCAACCAGGTTGTTGCAATGAAACTGTCCGATATCCAATATCTGTTTAACGAGCTTGTGTGAAGCAATTGAATTCTTCTTGCCCGCTTCTCGGTCTTGTGGAGCGGTTCCGGGTCTTTGGCGGGTTCCGATGCAGTGGATCCAGCCACTCGTCCGCTGTAACCCCGGCATACAGGGTCGGAGGTTAAGTGTCGGCAAGTTTGCCGTGCACTGTGGTGCAGTCGGGTCCTCCAAATGACCAGTTGCAAGGTGGTTGTTCGATCTGGTCGTTAGACAGAGGCAGGGATAGTGAAGAGAAAACATTGAAAGACAAGTTTATGCGAGTAAAAAGCAAAGAAAAGCGAACTAATGGGGCAATCTACCCACATCCAAGTAAGGCAAGTGGGGTGCAGATATGAAGAACTTAGGTAGGTGGGGCTAATTCGTGGAAGGTGAAAGGGATGAAAAGGGCTTAAATGACTACAGTAGAAAGAAAACTTGGTATAGGTAACATAATTGTAGTGGCGTGACAGCAGTTGATTTCCCCTGTTCGGTTCGTGTCCCAGCCAGATGTGTGTAGACCGCGGGTTTCTGCGTCGCTGTTTAACCTTGGGTTATTCTGCATTTTGTAACCCATTATCAAGTCACTCCGTAACCTTCGGCAACCAAGGGAGTGTGGGATTGGGTTCCTCAGTCTATCCTCACATGGGTTCCGTCGCATTCCAACAAACACTTTTGTGGCTTGTCTCTGAGCTTTCTCCAGTAGGTTCATGCCTCTTTTCGGTTGTGGTGGAGCAAAGATGTGATATAATTCCAAGTGAGGTCGTTTGTAATTCCTGCGAAGCTTCAAAAAGAGCTCTGGGGTGAGGGCACCCAATTATCTGCTCACAAAGTGTGGCACTACGTATGCTTTTGAAGCATCCCCTAGGTAATTGGAACTGGCGTCGTTACTCCGTCACCGTTAAATCCAAGTTTTTCCTGCTGCGGTATGAGGGGGATGTGAACCACAAAGATAATAGGACACTTCCGGTGGATCAAGAGTGTGGAAGAATATGGACCGGCATTTATCCGGGCTAAATGCCAGTTCGTTGTTTTCGCCCATTCCTCTAGCGTTTTGAGGTAATTATGTGGTGCACTCAATTCGGTCTCACAAGTTACTGCCCTCCGTAACTTGACGTCGTCAGCGCAGAGGAGAATCGGAGAGCTGATATGCATCAGGAGGTCATTCACGAACAGTAGGAACAACAATGCGCCAAGGATTGCTCCTTGTGAGAGACCGGGCGATTAGGTTCCTCAGGTTTGGTAGACCCCATTGACTTTCGTGCCGAACCCCTTATTGTCTAAGCAGTTCTGCAGCCATGGCAGCACCTGGTCGCGAAAACCTGGCCCAGCTATTTCGCTTATTAGGCTGGTGTTCGAGACACCGTCAGAGGCTTTGGTGAAATCAAGAAAAGTAGCGTGGACCAGGGCCTTGAGGTACCACCATGCTGTCCAGTGATCATGAGCCGCCAGGAGGTCGAAGGCACACGACCTATCCTTTCGGAAGCCATGTCGGGCATCACTGAGTGCTTGCCTTATGCCCATATATTGCCTGAGGCCGTCGTCTATCACACTTTCCGTAACTTTTGATATTACTGGTAGAAGCGCTGTGGGTCTGTAACAGTTTGGATACTGCTTGCCCCCTCCTTTGAAGATAGGAGAAAGTATGGGCCGTTTCTGCACTCGTGGGAGTTTCTGTTCGTCTAAGGCATGGTGAAAGAGACCGCAGAGTGGGACACTTAGGATACTCGCACATTATTTCAGCACGGATGGACAAACGTCATCGCAACCTGGGGATTTTCGCACACTTAGCTTTTATAGCTTATCGAGAACAATAGCACGGGTCAACTGTACTTCGTGCAACTCTGCTGCGTCGGATAACGTTGGAGGGTGTTCGGGCGGCAGGTGTGAGCACTTTCTTGATTGAATATTGGGCTGCGTATCAAACGTGGTGCTCAACATTTCGGCGACCTCTTGTCTAGAGAGGTTTTCTCTGTTCTGACCTATTACGACGCATGCTCCTTGCCTTGCAGAGTCTCTCTTCGACATGAGTCTGCGTAGGTCTTTGAGGTCTACCTCAAGCTTCTCGACTAGGTTGGACTGGAACGACCTGCGCACCTGCAGGACCGGTGGATGGTGGAGAATTAGCTTACAACTATCGACGAAGCAGGCTCTAGGCAGCACCCATCAGGTCACAGACCGATAAGTTTGACCACTACTGTAGCAAAAATCCTGGAAAGAGTAATCAAGAAGGTAATCACGATCCGCTTAGAAAGCAACACTGTTGTCTCGTTTGCAGCATGGTTTTCGTAGAAACTTCCCCCGCTTGACAAACCTTCCCACGGTAAGGGAAAGTCAAGTCAATTCCGAAGAGGATAGGATACTTGTGAACGTCATTTAAGTAAGGCGTTCGACAGGACACATCATTTTAGGTTGCTTGAAAAAAACGAGAAGGTTTCGGAGTCACTGGCAGTCTGTCTCCATGGATAGGCGGGTCCCTCGTTGGTAGGAGAGAGAGCGTATAGGCCAATTCTCAACTGTCCTCCTGGAAATCGGCAGAGAATGGAGTGGTGCCAGACACAGTCCTGGATCCCGTGCTATTTCTCCTGTTAGTAAACAAACTGAGGAATATCACGACAGCTTTTTGGTTCTGTATGCTAATGACGTGGAAATCCGGTGGGAAATCACGAAGGACGGGGATATACGTGCACTTGAGGCGGACCTAAACAGCTTATTTACCTGGTCGGAGAAGTGGCTAATGCCCATTGACGCAGGTAAATATTTTAGTATGCACTTAGAACACATACATGGCAACACACACGATACTGATGGGACCATTCAACCGGCAGTACTGACCCACTACGACCTAGGAGCTCCCTGGATTGCCCGCTTATTCGGTATGTGTTGCCGACTGGTCAATCATATTAATGTTCTGCCGAATCCGTCGTTAAATATATGGGCTGCTTCAGACCGAGAAGTTGGCTTTTCGCCTTATCTTGAAACAGCTCATCCTTTCTCGGCAGCACATCTTATCACAGATCAACTTACGTCACGACATTTCCAGCCTGCAAAACTTTTTCACCTGAGGGAAGAACCATAAATACACGCATAAGAGCAAGTGTCATACGCGCTCCTTTTACTTGATGAACCACTAATGTTGAGTGACGATCTGGCAACACAGAATCATCCATCCGAAAAATCTCAAGACACAATGCGGATACGTACTCGCATATTCTTTTTTCCGGCTTATTATAGCTTCAATAAGTCTACTGGTGATGAACAGTGCAGCGCTAGTTGATCAACTTTTTATCGTCTCATTTTCACTGGTAAATGCAAAAATAAAGGCAGTGAACTTCATTTATTCGATGACCAGTGCTTTTAAACTATCGAAACTCTCTCTTGATACCCACAAATAACGTGAGATCAGCGTGTGACGACCGAAACCCAATCTCTGGATCTGAACGCGGGAGAAAGCTCGGTGGGACCAAACGAACGTCATCCGGACAAGTTCCTGCATTTTGCTGTATGCTCCCCGAACTTTAGTGAGTTACGCACTGTCAAAGATTAGATCAACAATATCAAAAACACGACTTGTAGTAAATCGGTGATGGATTCGTAATGAGTCCATAGTACTATCAAAGCAACCATGGGTTATACCAAAACTGCAAAAATACCTCAACATTGCTGTTGGATAACTTTACGGTTCAAACGTTCTCAGGTACGAATACGAACCATACAGTGAAATCGGTTAACCATCTTTAAGTACGAGAGAATCAGTAGAAATAGCCCCGTCAAGAGGGGATCAAAAGCTTTGTCTACCAGAGTAAAATTAACAACTAAACGTTTCCACTGGCAAGTCAAAAGATAAGCAGTCAAATCATAGCACAGCCTTAAGTTGAGCCAAGGCGAAATGTCAGCAACAGTAGGACAGCGTTACGTTGCCAACGGCCCTGCACCACACGGTAAAAAAGCGAAGTATTCCTGATTAGTCTCAACCAAACAAAGGCAAATGATAAGTGTAGAGTCAATGAAGACGGTCAACTGACGGAGTAACACTGCATTGGTTAAATTCAAGGGCACAATATCCATGATAAGTGCAAAAATATTCTAATAAGTGTCAATACTGTCAAGTAGAGTGATGAGAAGGAATTTTCAAATTTTTTCCGTCACACTCTGGTTTGGGATTTCGTCCGTTAACACCGTATACATCACGCGATCAACTGATCTACCTTTGACCCTCCGATGCCTAAACGGGCTGCTATCGCGTTGCCGTGGATGTTCAGTCGGTCAAATGGAAATGAGCGATTGTTACTGCGGTTGGATGGTATTTATATATGCAAACGTTACTAACAGATAGGTACTGGT